TATATATATATACACATATACGGTAAAATAGATTAACAGGGTCTCTCAGTCAAAAATCAAGCTCTGCTCTTTACTTTGCCAAGCTTTCGCTTCTAATGGGAAGCTTCTTCAGGGCAGTAGAAATGAGCGAAAAACAATAAATTGAACATATAAATTGACGAGAAAGTTATACATGTATAACTTATAAGTTTTAACTTATATATCGCATATATGCGATAAGCTGCTGTTAGAGTAGTGTCAATATGTTTATTGAGAGAGAGGGATGAATCAAAAGTAACACCTAGATCAGTGAGTGTGTCAGGACGCTCCAGAACTAGATTGTTTATGACGTAGTTGTGTAAAGTCAAATTCGTTTTCAGTGAGGAAGACATTACATTACATTTGGATATGTTGAGAGATACATTATTCTTCCAACATCATGTAGCAATGCGGTTTAAATTCAGGGCGAGACGTTCGCAATCATTAGAACATGTTATATTGTGATAGAGCTTCAAGTCATCTGCTTATAAAAGGAAATTGACATCAATCTCAGCTCCGATATCATTAATGAACATATTGAACAGTAGTGGTCCTAGACTTGATCCTTGTGGCTATATTTTCGATAGACTTGAGGCCATTGAGTTGGACGTATTGCTTACGGTTGTAAAAATACGATTTGAAGAGGGTAATTGATTCATTGGATAACCCAAAAGTCGAAAGCTTGTTGAGCAGGATTCCATGGTCAAGTCTGTCGAACGCTTTTGAAAAATCAGTGTAGATGACATCAATCTGAGACTGACAATCAATACCCTCTGCAATACATCGAGTGATTGTTACAAGATTGGTGGTGGTTGATCTTCCTTTTATGAAACCGTGTTGATTGGGGCTAATAATGTTGCTGACATGACAATAGATTGTCTTCTCGAAAAGCATGTCAAAAACTTTACAAAAGTTGCATATGATAGAAATGGGTCTGTAATTATTTATCTCACTTTTATCTCCTTTTTTGAAATTTGGGCAGACTTTCGACATTTTCCATATTATTGGTACAGTTGATGTTTTCAGGCATATATCAATTAGAGTTGTTAGTGGTTCAATCAGAGCTGAGGCACAATCTTATGTCACATACCTGGTTAGTTGTATCTGAAAACTTTTATAGTTTGCAATGAATGAAGCGAGCCTTGTCAAACTTTGCTTCCCTGATCCACCTACTCCAACGAGAAGGGCATTTCCTCTCGCCGTTCTTATTATTCTCGATATAATCATGAGATGAATCATTGCATCTCGGAAGAAAACCATGTCCATTGTTGCACCTCTCACTGCTTCGTTGTATTGGTCCATGAAACCTAGAATGAAAATTCACCCATATTATTGTTGATACTAATTATGAAATTTGTAATCTGAAAATGATAGATCATTTTGGTGTTTGGTCCTCCTGCTTCCTGAAAGAACGTTCCCTGCATGTGGCCGTTGACGGATATCACTCAAATAATTTTACCATCAACGCTCTGGTGTTCCCCAGAGATCCATATTGTTTCCAACGCTCTTTTTACTGTATAACAACTTATTAAAAAAAAACAATCCAATAGATTGCTTTGCTGACGACAGCCCACTTGTGCCATTTGGATTCCAGGACATGCACATCTTCACCGGCAGCAGGAGGTTGCATATCTTAATAAGGATCTAGAAGTGATTTCGAATGAGCTTGGTTTACAGTTCACTTGGTGCTAATTTCAAATTGAAAAATAGTGTACTTTGTTTCAGCTCTCTAAATAGCGTTGTTTCCCCGAAATTAATCATTAAAAATTGGTTTTTCTAGGCCCGTGACATCATTGACTTAGTCCCGCTTCTTGTTCGATTGACCAATGGGAACAATACAAATAATGAACATTGCCAAATTGTAAAATTCACGGAGCTTATAAACAGTTTCTGATTCATTCGTGATTCAAGGTAAAATAACACTCACTTCCAACAACTAAATCTAAGAAGAACGTGTAGAAAATGCATTGGAAGGGAGAATTGATTATACATGAGATCCAAATAACACAAAACGCAATAAAAACGTTATTTTTGAAATATCTCCGGCAGTAAACATTTTCATGTTGATATCACTGAAATTTTAACGTTTAAATTCATGAAAAAAATCTCCATATGAAATGAAATGTACTTGAAAACCATGGTTCTGAATAGAATTCAACGAGCTATATTTTTAAATGGTTCTCGAAGGCTTTGAACCCTAATAAAATGAATCAATTATGCATTCATGCCATCCACCAAAAATAAGAAATTCAACGTTATATATTAGCCATATTGCCACTCAGTCAGCTATCTCTCTTGAATGTATGAGACAATGTACTCTTTTTAATGTTTCAAACCTTCGTATTTTTGTTGAAATAATTGACACTTGGCAACACCTCTGTAGACACGATCAATTTTATTGGTCAGCAGACAAGCGGTCAATGTAAACTCTTGCTTCTGGAATTTTTTTTTTCTGCAAATATAATTAGGTATTGGGACCGATTCGGCTCGATAAATAGGTATAATATACACCTAACTCGTTCAGTCTACAAGCAAACCAGTATCATTTTGAATAGCACGAAACAAGCTTATTGGGGTGAAACTAACCAGGTTCAATTTAATGGCACAAAAACCCAGGCATCGGTTTTTTCCAAAAATATTAATGTCTCCGAAACGAATACAATAATGTCAGGACAGACAATTCCGCTTTCTGCTTCGATAAGTTTGTTGGGGGGTTGAAATGGACACCAGTATGTCTTGGGACAATCTTGTTGCTGGAATTGCAAATGCTGCTTCTCAAAAGGTTGCAACACTGTACACACCTCAGCAACTTTTGATGCTTCATATAGCCCAAATTAGACGTACTTTGGAGTATTGTTCTCATGTATGGAGCTCAGCCCCTAACCATACCCTGAAGCTGCTGAATTCTATCCATCTGATTGGAGAAACGAACATCTAAGAAAGGTTTCAGATTTCTCTCTCCTTTACAGATATGTACTTTCACGGGAGGTGTTCAAGTGACTTGGCACATTTGGTTCCACCAACAACGGTACATATCAGAAATACGCGACGGACTGTGGCTATATACAGGGTGATTCAAAAGTACTTTGACAAACTTCAGGAGGTGATTCCTCACAATATTCTAATATGAATTGTCCAAATAAATAAATGTCCGGAAACACTTCGTTTCCAAGATACAGGATGTTGAAGTTTTATTTTTATTTTGGTTTTTTTTCAAATAACTTTTGAAATACTGAACTAAATTAAACGAAACTTGGTAATAGGAGGTTTTTGAGGTTTTTTCTAGCACATTTTTCATTAAAAAAATCGATTCCTCTATGATATCTACATAAATAAGCTATCCTTGTTACTAGTCGCTGTAAGCAACCGTTTTCTAAATATTTGGACTTGAAAACTTCAAGTCGATTATTTGATAATCGATGCATGTTGAAGTTATTACGAATATTTTGCTTTTTTCACAAGAATGCTTTGGAAATGAATTTGACGTTTTACTCGTTTGAAGAGGTCATTACTGTTGGGTACGTTCCTTTATGACATCCTTAAGCGATATAGTTATTTTTGTATCAAGGGTGCATAATCAGTATTTGTTTTAATAAAATTTGCAAGAAATGTCAACATTTTATTTGAATATGTAGAATAAACTAAAATAAACGAAACTAAATTGTTTTCGAATAAATTGTTGGAAGTGACCACCTTCAGCGAATATACAGGCAGTCAGTCGTCTAGTCATTGAATCTCGTACCCGCTCAAAAATTATTGGTGTGTTTCTTATTGTTTCACAGGCGTCTACTATTCGGTTTCTTAGATCTTCCTCGTTCACTACTGGAGTCTTACAAACTAGTGACTTCAAATGTCCCCAAAAATAAAAATCTATCGGGATTAGATCTGGGGACCTTGGTGCCTACGCCTGGTTAGGTTCTTCTACACCGCTACCGATCCATCGATTTGGATAGACTGTGTTAAGGAATTCCCTGGCTACAACGCTAAAATGGGCCGGAGCACGGTGTCTCGTGGCAAAAGAGCTTGTACTCTTTGAATATGGTATGGATAAAACTGTTGTTCGTGGATAATTCTCCAAACTGTGGACTGAGTAGAATTGACAGCTTCAGCAATTACTCTTGTGCTTGTTTCTGGATTCTCCTCGAGAGCGTTCAAAACAGCTTCTTCCTCCAATTCTGGGGTTCGGACTGCTCGTGGTCTTCCAATAATATCAGCTGCCCTCTTAAAGCTGTTTCTGCCAAACGACGGTGGAGATTAGCAAATGTTGGAGCTGAAGGCAGTACTCGATTAGGAAATCGCTCCTGGTAAATACGTCTTGCTTCGCGCGCATTGCCATCCACAAGGCCATAAACGAAATGCATATCGGCTAAATGAGTATTATTGTTTAAATAATCCATTTTTTCAAAATAAGTGTTTTCTACTTCTACTTACGGAAACTTCAATAAAACGTCTAACTGTCACAAAATATGTAATTACCAAAACTACTCACAAACGTCATATTTATTTCCAAAGCATTCTTGTGAAAAATGCAAAATATTCGTAATAACATGCATCGATTATCAAATAATCGACTTGAAGTTTTCAAGTCCAAATATTTAGAAAACGGTTGCTTACAGCGACTAGTAACAAGGGTAGCTTATTTACGTAGATATGATAGAGGAATCGATTTTATTACTGAAAAATGTGCTAGAAGTACGCCCAAAAAAGTTATGAATCTTTAAAAAAGAAAAAGACGTGTAGGTGGCGCCCCCTACGAGTAAGAGCAATAAGAACACCAGGTTCGAATTCTACACCTCAAAATCCTCCTATTATCAAGTTTCGTTTAATTAAGTTCAGTATTTCAAAAGTTATTTGAAAAAAACGAAAATAAAAATAAAACTTCAACATCCTGTACCTTGGAAACGAAGCGTTTCCAAACATTTATGTATTCGGACAATTCATATTAGAATATTGTGAAGAATCACCTCCTGAAGTTTGTCAAAGTACTTTTGAATCACCCTGTATATGGAAAGTAGAGACTAACGGGACTTTCAGTCAAATACGAGACTTCGTCAGGACGCTAAAGTGAAATACAATAGAAACGAACTGAAAAAAAACGGACAATATTTACAAGCAATCTGAGTTTTACAATTGAATATTGATGAAAAAATTCTATAAAATTGGCGCATTGATGTTAATAATGTCAAAATTTTCAGATATCTGATATTAGTTATGTCATGTTCATAGCTTACTGTAATGACAAGAGTGACATTATCATTGAAAATATTTCTCTTTCGTAAATGCTCATTGTTCAATGTCAGTGTCAGACAATCAATGACAAATCGATTGAAGTCGTGTTTTTTCTCGAAAATGAAGAAAACACAAGCGATGAAAAAGTTGTATTTTCTGTTGCTCAATATAAAAAATTTAAAAACTACAAAAAAGTAAATGGCGTTCTTTTTTTCCTCAATATTGTTGGTTGTGGTGCCCACTGAGACGCCACTGGCCCTAATAATTCCAATCTAGTTCGGGCTAAATAGGCGCCTTATTACTTCAAATAACTGTATCTCAGAAATGAAGCAATGGTCATACGAATCAAAGTAGCGTAGTTAGCAAACACCCTGTATAGCGGGAAAATGCGTACTGTTGGGATATGCGGTATAGATATGTTACATGAGTATTCATTTTGAGGTTATTTTTTTAAAACGTATAGTTTTTAAATATTATTCTTCATTCTTCCTTCCGTCTTAACTTCGTTTCACTTTCCATGCATTTCATGTGTCAGTGCGTCGCAAGACAGGGGTTTATAATCTTAGCGTGTGTTTTTTACATTGATTATTAAATTAATAACTTTATATTATATGTAAGAAGCAACTGCACTGTATGTCGATAGTCCAGGTAAGCACTATATGATTCCTCGAAGCTGCTATGTTATCGAGAGATATTAATTCATTGCTGAGTAGAGTAGAGTAGGATTTATATGTTTGTTGCAGCGATTTATTATTGTGAGAAATATACTATTTGTTCAGAGTAAAGTGTCTTTCAACTCATTGCCCCCTTTTGATGCACTCTTGTTATCTATGCTTATTAGGAAAATTATCACTTGAATAATTCAAATAACTGCAAACAAATTTGTAGGTTAGGTTAAGTGATGATTCTTAAAGCCCTATTTGTAAACACAATTATGTAGTGTGAATTTATCATTGTAGATGGCAGTAGCTACTTGTAAACACTTCCGACTTACATATCTGCTATGTATATTGGGCCACGAGAAGCTGTAAATCGTCCATTAGTCATTGGACCCCACTGGATGTATATCCGGATAACCTTCAATCTTAATGGGTTAGCCAGTTCAAATTCCATTCCTCTCAGTCGTATGGGGGTGTGAGGGAACTGATGGTCCATAGCGATGATTTAGAACCCAAGTTCTATACCCCTAAATGGAGAAGGTCCATTTACCGTAACAGAGGGACCTGAAAAGGTTCCTCGGTCCGATAGCAAAAGCTATGCTTTTGTAAACCGGGGTGACATGTGCACCTCAGGCGTGTCATTCCTGAACTGCTGCTGAACCATACCTTAGAAGGAGATTGGGTGTATACATCCAGTGGAATTAAATCGAAACAAAATTATTTACAAATATATTTTGAGAGGAACTAACTATACTATTTATTCTTGAATAGTAGTCACTAAATTCTTGGAAATTACAGACGTGTTTGTTTGCCTTCTTAATCTGTCTCTTGCAGAGTGGCGTACGATATTTAAATAATTTTGGTTTATTTATATGAATGTTCAGGTTTGTTTTAACACTGATGGTTTGGAAGTTTCTGTTATGAAAACTAGGAAATACACCTATTCAATAATATAATAAAAGCGTAATGTAATACTTCGAGTAATAGTAATTCACTTACTGAATAATTTTTCCTTGAGAAATTCCCAACTAGGAATTTCTTCGTATACTTTGGGAGCTTCGAAACTGAAATCGTCGGGCTCGTCACCTGTGGCTTCAGGTGGTTCTCGAAGAAAATCAACCCAATATGAGTCTTCGTCCTCGTAGTACTGGAAGTCTTCTCCGAGCTCTTCTTCAGCTTGGGTTCGCATTGCCTTCACGAACCAAGTACGATCACTTTCTTCAGTACATCTGATAAAATACGATTATCATACATATTAGTAAAAAATATTGATTTAACGTTTTAATTGCCCCTCTTTTGTTGTAGCTGGTGGTTAGAGTTTTTGTGTTGAGATATAGTCGAAGTAACCTTCATTGTGAATACTTAAAGCTATCGGCATCTCAAAGGCAAAAAAAAACCAATACAGAGAAATAATGCAGCTGCGAACTAGTCCACGTGGACTGAAGAATTGGCGGTTCGTATTGAATAATTTTTACTAACGGAGTTTTATGATTGGCTGAAGAGTCATAAAATTTGAAGTCATGATACGGTGATGACTAGAATGTGGGGATAAGAATCGCGGTTGTGTCGTCAATGTTCAGTTCAGGGACTGATCGCAATTTGAGTGTTGAAATTCGATATTGATGCAGTTATGATTACTCAACATTTTTGTTGCTTATCTGTTCAAAATGTGGCACCCTTGGACAAGTACTAATAGTAATAACGAGCGTGATAACAAGGCAGACTTTTTCCTGTGTAGTGATTCCAATAGCGATGGTGAAAAATGTGAAAAAGAGATACCAGTGAATAAGATTCGGTTGCATTTGAATATTGGAACACAGAAAGTATGTTTCAATGTTTATAAGAATCTACATCTCAAGTTTGGTTTCGAGGGAAACAAACTATTACAAGCAACATCAGATTTAACCGAAATTCCTTTCTCAACTGTACGTAAAATAGCCAAAAACAAACCTTATGAACGCAAAACGCGATGTAATTCAGGATTACTAAAACCTTTAGATGTTCATCTAATAAAGTCGTTGAAAAAAACAGTATACGACTGTTACAGAAGCAATGAGATTCCTACAACTGAAATCATAAGGAAGAAATTGAATACTTCCGGCCATAACGTGAGCTGCTGTGACAAAACTCTTCAGAACTGGATAAAGAAACTAGGATATAGATTTAAAATAATAAACAAACGTCAAGCAGTTATGGAAAGCAGAAAAATAATGGAATTGCGTAACAAATACGCAGTCACGACACAGTAACGAAAGGGTGCACTGATGGTTCGAGAATGTGTACGCCTAACATGCCTGCAAACAAAGGATCGCGACTGATCATTGTGCATTGCGGAGGAAGTAAAGAATGGGTTCCAAATTCTTTGAAATTATGTTGGATAAAACTTGAGAACTGCAATGTTGACTATCATAAGAACGTGGAAGCTAATATTTTCGAGGAATGGTTTGAAAACACATTGATCCCAAATTTGGATGTGGATAGTGTAATTGTTCTTGACAACGGTTCGTATTATTCGCGACAGCTCATCAAAGTACCGAATAAAAATTCGAGGAAAGATGAAATACAAAGTTTTTCAATGGATAAAAATTTGTATTTTGATGATTACTAAACCAAAAACAAATATTTGAAGTTTTACAGACAAAAACATTTGAAAAAAGTGTATGCCCTTGAGGGTAATGGTATGGAAACAGCATACTGACACTTCTTCTTTTCTTCTTTTTGGTTTCAATCCCATCAGGCGTAAAAATAATTTTCCAAAATGTGATAAGAAGGTAATAGAAGTATCTAATATTACCAAAGAAGACTGGCAGAAAAGGATTAAAATAGTAATTTCAGTTGAAAGAGACTATATGGTAATATTCAGAAGTATTTTCAATTATCACCCTGTTATTTGAATCCCTACTTTCCCACTCACCTATATAAACGAAATATTTATTATATATATATTATTACATACATTTTAATTTTATATATTATATCGTTATTTTGATTCTTATATAATCAGAAATGATTATTGAATAAAGAAATTAATTAGCTTCCTAACTATATTATTAAAGGGGAGCTGTTGGACGGTAGGTTGCACTATATCGTTTACTTGAACTATAAACGAAGGGCCATACGACCCAGGAGAGAGTACGCGAAAGTAATCCCAGCGAGGCTGGTCAAGAGAAAATCTACTCTTTCCTATTTTAAAAATGTCATTGAGAAATTTCTGGGGAGAATATAAAAAAAAAGAATCATTTCAGTCTACGATTTCATACCTATCCGCAATAACTCGAGTGCATTCGTGCTTCCAAAGTTTTATGAGTTTCGATTTCGTTTGACATTCTAGGTTCTGAACTGTTAATATCCCCTGCCAAATTCTCGACAAATCTCGTAAATTGAAAACGTAATGGAACTTTGCCGGTGTAGGTAGCATCTTCTTCTTAACATTTTGCCAAAGGTGACGGGTGAGAGGGACGAAAACTGGCAAGAAATCGACGATTTCTTGAGTGAATCTCTCAATGCAGAAGTAACCGCAACCGATTTGTTCTGAAACGATCAAAAAAATACTTTATAATGAATTGTTCCGGAAGTTTTGTTCAGATTAAAGGAACGTTAAAGAAAAAACATGGCTGCTATCGTGGTATACAGGGTGTGTGCATCGTTAAAGAAAAAACATTGCTGCCATTGATGCAGCCATGTTTTGTGTAACGTTTAAGAGAAAAAAATGATAGCAGTGCCAGCTGCTGCGTCAGAAGCAGTTATAGTGAATCATACCAGCTGCTGACTGCTACACCACGGTCTTTTTTAATCGGTTTTCGTCTTTGTGAAGTGTCTGGAAGGCTCATTGGTATTCAGTCACTGTTCAGAACGTTTCCTGTTGTCATAGAGGACTCACTTTCCACCACACTTGACGATCTGATCCAAAAAAAAAAGATCGTTTTTGGTAACGCAGAAGCAGAGATGAACACCAAAGTAATTAAAAGTATTGTGCCATGTATAGCCGAGCTATTAGCTCATTTGATAAACGTATCAATTGAATCAGGAGTCTTTCCGGAATATTTAAAATCGGTGTTGTTACCCCTATTTTTAAAAAGGGTGACCCCCATCTAGTTGACAATTACAGACCCATTACGGTACTGTCAGTCATCAGCAAAATTGTTGAGAAATGTATCCACAGTAAAATGCTTTCCTTTCTGGATAAATACAAAATTATTACTGATCACCAAAATGGTTTCCTGCCAGGTAGATCGACGGAGAGTGCGGCTGTTTCACTGTTCAATTTCATATATTCCTCGCTGGATCAAAAAAAGTACGTGGGCGCACTTTTCTTCGATCTATCAAAAGCTTTTGATTCAATAAATACAAATGTTACTTTATCTTAATTAGAGAGTATTGGATTTCTTGTCATGGCTGTCCTCATATTTGAAACATAGAAAAATATTAGTGAATATCGCAGGATATAAATCTCCTCTAAAAGAAATGGAACTAGGTGTTCCTCAGGGTTCCATATTGGGGCCGTTGATTTTCCTGTGCTATATAAATGACATGCCACGTCACGTAAGTTCTAACAATATCATTCTATATGCGGATGACACGACAATAGCTACGGAAGCCAACTCTCTCGAAGAACTGGAGGATAAACTCCAAATTTTGACTGAAGAATTCACGTACTGGTGTCGTAGGAATTCTTTAATTTTATCAACTGCGAAAAAACGGTATGTTTTCAATTTTCCAATAGAGTGACGGCCTATGAGCCACTGAACACCTCTTCAAATATTGAGTTTTCAGAACATACAAAGTCTTTGGGAGTATATCTCGATGAAGACAGGAGCTGGAAGACCCACATTAATTATGTTATTAAAAAGTTACGTAGTAGTTACTATGCGATTCTACAGCTAAAGAATATTCTTTTTGCAGAGCAATTAGTAAGACATGCATGAGTACCCTACTAGAAACGGTAACCTCCTCAGGATCCCAAAACATACCAGCTCGTTGAACGAGAAATCTCCAAATTTTACCGGCATTAAATTTTATAATTGTCTTCCTATCAGCATTAAGGGTGAACAAAATTTCATGAAATTTAAGGCCAAATTGAAATCACACTTAGTAGAGTCATGTTTTTACAATGTTTCAGATTATTGCCCTAAAATGAAATGAATAATGGAACACGTAGATTTTACTTAGTTATTGTTTTCACTGTTTCCTGTGTTGTCTTTTATGACATATCCTATAATCATGTGAATGATCTTTTGAGGATGAATAAATTTATTATTATTCATATTTTCAATCTAATAATAACTAGCAAAACTTTTCCATCTATTTGGAAAACATCTATAGTTACTCCCATACATAAATCGAACGATAAAAAGGATATAGAGAACTACAGGCCTATTTCAATACTATGTTCCCCAGCAAAACTATTTGAACAAATTATTCATACAAAGTTAAATCAATATGCTAATAAATATATTGTTCCAGAGCAGCATAGTTTTATGGCTAATAAATCAATTAGATCTAATCAATTTCTGTTCAGTAATTTTGTCTCTGAATGTTTTGGAAACAAGTCTCAATTGAATATAGTGTATACTGATTTCAGGAAAGCATTTAATCAGGTGAATCACGATGTATTACTGTATAAATTGGGAAAGTATGGAGTAATAGGAGGGACATTGCAGTTATTATCAAATTACCTACAAAATAGATTCTTCATGGTTAAGCACAATCAAAATATATCGTCAAAGTTTCCTATAACTTCCGGAGTCCCACAAGGCTCTAATTTGGGGCCTCTATTGTTTTCATTGTTTAATAATGATGTATCTTCAGTGCTGAATTATTCATCCGGTTTGCTTTTCGCAGACGATTTTAGAGTTTTTATAAATGTAAAAACGGTGAGGGACTGTATACTCCTACAGAAAGATGTAAACAATATAGTGAAATGGAGTAACGACAACAAACTTTCATTCAACATAAATAAATGCCATGTCTTAACTATACATAGGATCAAGCACCCAGTTATTTTTGATTACACAATGGACAATGAAGCATTGGAGCGTGTAGAGGAAGTTAAAGATTTGGGGGTAACCTATAATAACACATTTTCCTTTGCCAACCATATCTACAATGTCATCAAATCTGCTAATCGAATGTTAGGATATATAATTAGAGAAAGTAGACATTTCAACAGTATTAAAACTATTAAATTACTTTATTATACCTTAGTTCGGCCCAAACTTGAGTATGCATCCGAAGTTTGGTCAAACGAGAATGCAACGCTATTAGGTGATATAGAAAAAGTGCAAAATAAATTGCTGAGATATCTGTATTTCAAAAAATATCATAAATGGCCGGATTATAGAACGGTGCGAACATCAACACTTAGAGCAGAATTTAAAATATTATCTCTACAGCAAAGACGTTGTTTGAATATTATGATATTTTTGTATAAAATCTTAAACAATAGGATAAATTGTCCGGAAATTCTATCGTTAATACCTTTTAATGTACCGCTGCGACGCACACGTTCATCATTTGAATTTAACTATCCTGTAAATTTATATGGATCTAGATGTTCTCTTGTATACATGCTCCAATTGGCTAATAAAACAGGTGTTTTAATATCATTGGACTGGACTTCATCGCAAAACAGTTTTCGCCAATTGATATTGAATTATTTGGTTAGTATGTCTGAATAACGTCTCCCTGTCATTCTGGTATATTGGCAGTTAAGGTTGTGTAAACATTATGTTGCTATTTTTAGTATTAATTTTATTGTATATGTATTAGTATTGAACTAAAATTTTTGTTTTTTTTGTTATATCTATCCATGTAATTAGGCTAATCAGCCTGTTTGGATGAATAAATAAATAAATAAATAAAAAATTATAACACACCTCGAAAAGTGGTAATTTCTGTCAATCGTTCAAATCGTGGGCCATCTGCTTTCCGAGCTTTTTGACCTTTTCAATACGTTATAAACCATCAAAAACTGCATTGAAGCTGACCTTCAGTTCTTTCGCCATCTCACGAACTGTTTGTCATGGGTCAGTCTCCACTAGGGTAGAGAACAGTATAATGTATAGAGTACAAAATTCTCTATCGATCAATATTACACCATAACACAGTAGAATGAATAATAATTGAGGTATGAAGCTACAATAGAATAGTAAACATATCAAGATGTAACGAAGTTATCATCTGGATGCTATGCAGTTCAAGAAGTAACGAATGGACTTTGAAAAACCATCTGACATCAGTTTGTCAAAATGATATCATAAAATGATGGTACCCTTACCTTAGGTTAGGTTAGGTCCCAAGTGAGAGGGTCTATTCGACCCTCACCGCAACCTGCAAGGGTTTATTGTGGCTCACACCTGTGGCTCGACCAAATAAACCCAGCTTCATAACGAAGCCGATTGATTTGTATGGTGAGTGGTCTTTCAGATCAGAAGAGTATGGCTCTGCTGAACTCTAAAAACCTGATTCGGTCCCCAGCGGGCAGGCACAAACAGAGGCGACACACACTGTTTTCAAATGACAGTGACCTGTAAGAAGGCCGTTAGACATCGTAGTTCATCCCCACTGTAGTCCAACAACTGTTTATCAAGCTTCGAAGGGTGAATAATCGCCTTGGAGTGAGCCATTCCTGGAAGATTCTGCCAGAAGTCCATAAATCTGCTTGCCATCCAGGTGTTCAATCTTTGTTTGGCAAAGCCTACAGCGATGCCAATGACGGGTTCTGGTCCGATGAAGCTGCTTGCAGCACCCTTCTTTGCAAAGGAGTCAGCAGCCTCATTGCTTTCCAGGCCACTATGTCCAGGAATCCAGACCGAAGACAATCAGTTAAGTCTTCTCATCAAGGAGGGTCGTTTTTGGCAATTTGGCACCAATTTAGACGTTGTTTGGTAGGAGCCCAGAGCTTCCAACGCCACTTGACTGTCCGAGAATATTTTTATTGACTTGTGGATGAGGTTTGATTCTTCCAATTTCTTCGCACACAATTCAATAGCGTAAATTTCCGATTGAAATACAGTCGTATAGGTTCCCAGGCAGGTTGATATATCTGCCCTGGGTCTGCGACTGAAAACACCTGCACCGGAACCAGAAGGTGTTTTTGATCCATCTGTGAACCAACAACTATCTGCCCTTTATATTTCCTTTTTCCGGAGGATCCAGTCCTCTCTATTCGGGAACAGTACTTTATAAAGCAGTTCATAGTTGAGAGATGGAGGCATAAAGTCAGATGTAATTTGCAGAATGCTGTGACTTTCAGGGTCAACCAACAGTCTGTTGCACTCTGCATTAAATTGATTTGTGAAATTGGCAATGTGCACAAGTCTATATGCAGTCCATCTAGCCTCTCTCTCCAGAAAAATGTGGAGGAAGGAGGATCTTCATGGCTGCTGACGATGTGGTACTGATAGCACCTACGATGGCCAGTGATCTTCGCCTGGGTCTTTTTCTGTAAAGCCTTCGGCCACCAGGCAATTATCACATGAACCCAATGGATTTGTTTGGGACCTAAACCCCAAAATTTACCACAAATCCTTTGACATGTCCATAGGGACAGTCTGGCTTTGTGTAAAACTTTTTCCAAGTGAGCGTTGCAGATGAGTTTTTCATGATGTGACCTGATCATTGAGGGAAAGTGGCGTTAGATCGTCCAATGTTCTCCTCCTGGAGAAGGGGATTATCACAGTTTTGCTGGGGTCGACAGACATCTGCACCCTCAGGCACAGGCTGTGAACAACAGGAAGGAAAGAAATAAATGGTTCACTGAGCAACTTACTGTCGGAGATTGAAATTTGAAAATTCTGTCTTACAAAAAAATGTTGACGATAGAGTCATCAATGTAAAATGTGTAGTATTGGAAAAAAATATATATACAAAAATAAATTACAAAATAATGATTCTGCACATTTTCAAAATTGTTTTGATGATAAAAATTGAATATGGAAAGCAGAAAAAAATTTGGATATTAGTGAGAATCAAAACGTTTGGAATCCAAACAAATTATTGATCAAGAATTACTTGTTGACGATTGATTTAAAACATTTGACATACTGCCTCGTGATCAACATAATTTTTTTCTCTGTAATTCAGTCATTAGTTTATCATTTCCTTTCAGATGTGTGTGGTTTTCATTTTCTGCAGTTTCATTTATCGCTTATGATAGTTTTCAAGAAAAATTATTCCTTACTGAAAATGAGGTCCATAGACACGATGCTGGGCAATGTACAATTGAATACGCAGAATTGTCGTTTCAGTCTATGTGGAATATCGTTTCTGCCTCCACCAGGGTGAATCATAGCTGCCAAAAACATTACGTCGACTATGTACGAAAAATCGCCAGGTTTGTCCAAACTGTAGAAACCTAAAGAGCACGAAAGACATTAAAAATGCAATACAGATTGGTTTTTCACTCACCTCCAGACTCCATGCACTGTCTTACGATTTCATTCGTGATTTGGTCTCCCCAGTCATTGATGACAGGCATATTGATGTCGTCGATGAATATTGTTAAAGTTTTACCTGCTGGCGGGCCATAAGTTGTGCCAACTCTTTTATCTACATAAGATTCGATAATTCGCTGAAATAAATAATGGTAAATGGAAAATAATGGAACGAAATCTGTTCGAAATAAACACGATTTTAAAGAACATCAAACTAAAAAGTATTTTTTTAAAATAAGCTTAAAACAATAACGAATGAATAATATTTTATGTTATAAAAAAATTATTTCTTTTATAAACTCTCTTTAGCGGCAGCGCGCGTATGCCGTAACAGCCGCGCGGAACCCTATTTTCAACGTCAAATTAAAATTATAAATAATGGAGATGGAGTTTCGGGGGTCGGGACTTTTTTATCGGAAATTTCCTCCTCTTTAAAGAGCTTTTTTTCAAAATTGCTTAAATATTAATATTTTTTGAGTTATTAACGAAAAACTAATTGCCATTTTTTAAGATCTTATTTTATCAATAACAATTGCAATTTTTTACCTGCACAAAAATCCTTAAAAAACATTTTTCTAGAGATGATTCCGAATCGAATGAGCTATCTCATATTTTTAGGACTGTCATCTCTATTTTTCATGTTTTTGAACTTGTTGATTAGACTATGGTGTCCAATTTAAACCCTAATAAACTTATCGAAGCAGAAAGCGCAACCTCCTGGTGGGTTACGTGGGCGATTTGCTCGACACACTCAATCGACCGTAGTGTGTACCGGTGGTTCAAACCCCGAGGTCGTTCAATCGATTTTCCCTTTCTATCGTTAGGAATTACACGTTGAAAGGAGAGACCTCGTTCGTCCTAGGCTCGCACAAATTTCAAATTTTGATAGTTATCGTTCGTAGGGGGGCGACAGCTGATTAACGGAAAAATAGATTTTACCAGATTTTTTTTAAAGTTGAAGCTTCCAAAAATCCACTCACTTGCACCATATTCGGAGTTGTTGCAGATGAAAAATTGAAACACTTGTTCAACTTATATTCCGGGTCGAATGTTGATGTATATCCTTTTATCATTACGGTTTTTGCCGTACCCTGCTCGCCTGAAAACCAGAAAAACTCACCAAAAAATATTCAAATTCAAACTCCTCACCTATGAGCAGTACAGCTTTATTTTGTTTCGCAACAGTATGTATCAAAAATGCCGTTCTCACATTGTCCACATTTGGTACCAATATACTTGTGAATTCTAATATACTGTCGGTGGGATAGACAAATTCCTCGACTCTACGCGACCAATGTTCCCACCTGCCGTTTTCGGGGTTGACGACATACTCGAAAATTGTTTCATTTTCATTACATTTCGGCCAGTCTAGTTTGGACGGATGGGCCAGGGCGAACTCTTCTAGTTTGGCCCTGTCGTCTAATTCCAAAATAGCTCCCAGAGACCACATTGTAGAAAACAAAAACAGACGTTCGAGTTGTTTGTCCGTCCAAACTTCTAAAAATGCAAAGACAGCAATTTAACGCAAAAAATTTGAAATAATAATCAACGTCTCTATTATTTCCATTTATTAGATACTTTTATAATATTTCAATCTAAATATAATTCCAAATAAATGAAAATAAAAGTCTGAGCTCTCTTTTTGTAGAGACGAGTCTAAAAAACTGTTCTCATAATACAGGGTGTAACATAAGTACGTTAAAATATTCAAGTGACGTATTCCTGCGAGAATTTTAAGAAAAAAAGTTTATATGAACTTGTGTCCGAAAATGCTTCGTTTCGGAGATACGGGGTGTTGAAATTGATTTGTTTGTTCGCTTTTTGAATAAAACTCTTGCAAAAAATGAGTTATTTGCACGAAATTCCGTATCCGGGTTTTTTTGACATGGGAAATCATAATTTCGTATTCATTTTCATATAACATCTAGAGGGCGCTGCGTACGCTGTCATTATTTATTTCAAATTGCCCTAACTTTTTTGACAATAAACTTTTGGTACTTTTCATGAAAAAAGACTGTTGAAATTTTTCAAAACATGGTAGGTTTGTGTTTGTGAGTTTTTTGCAATTTCAGTTATTTTCATCAAACTTTGTAGGCAGTATACCCGTACAGACTTCTTCTAAACTGAGCATTATCGAACTGCTTATTCAATCCAAATTGAAAAAAATTGTCAGGTTTAATTATTCAATTAGAAAGTGATTTCGAAGTTTGTAAAAAAAACAATTCGGAGAAGTACTATGTTATTTATTAGGAAAATAAACATATAAACATAGAACGAAACAACTATTACAACAACTGTTCAAAGTGACGACCCCCAACAGTAATACAAGCTTCTGCTTTCTTCATCAAAGAATCCCACATTCGTTGAAAAATGCCCGGAGTGTTTCTTATCGTCTCGCAGCAAGCTATGATGCGATCCCTCAACATTTCCTCGTTTTCAATAGGGTTAGCATAAACTAGTGATTTTAGGTGTCCCCAAAAGACAAAATCGACGGGATTGAGGTCCGGTGACCTCGGGGGCCAATGCTCTGTGCCTCCTCTTCCTATCCATCGTTGGGGATATGCTACGTCTAATAAATTTCTTGCTGTCATACCAAAATAAGCAGGAGCTCCATCGTGCATAAACCAAGAGTGATTTCGGAGACCAATGGGAACATCTTCCATAAGTTGGGGAAGCTCGTGTTCCAAAAAATGTAGGTAAACGTAAGGGGAGAAAATAGGGCCCAATTAAATAGTCCCCAATCATGCCTACCCATACATTAATAGAGAATCTGTCTTGGAAATGAGTTTGCGTTATCGCATTAGGGTTATCTTCCGGCCAGATGTGGTTGTTATGGAAGTTCATGATAGCATTTCTTGGAAAATCAGCCTCATCTGTGAAGAGGATTTTCGATAAAATTTGCGATGTTGTTCGACTTTTCTTTGAAGCCATTGAGCAAATTCGATACGTGGTTGGAAATCACGTAGCGTAAGTGCCTGGACACGCTGAATATGATAAGGATATAATTGTTGTCCCTTCAAAATTCTGTAAACTGTCATGTGACTCACATTCAAAATTTGAATAATTTTTCTTGTATATCTCTGGATGTTCACTAATTTCTTCGAGAACCGCCTCCTCCAATTCTACAGTTCTTGTAGTCCGTGGCCGTCCTACTGCAGAATTTGTTTCAAAACTTCCAGATTCGGAAAGTCGCCGGAAAAGATTCGCAAATGTCGCTGCACAAGGAGTCACGCGTTGGGGATACCTTTCCTGATAGATGCGTCTGGCCTCGCTTGAATTTCCGTCAGTCAAGCCGTATGCAAAAACCATATCAGCCATTTCAGCATTCGTAAAGTCGGGCATGTTTCCAAAAAATCACTTTATAAACTCCGAACTGTGAATTTGTCAATAAATAGTGTGACAGCGAACTTCTATTTTTATAAACAAACTTTCATAGCCTACTTGATAAAAAAAAATCTGTTTATGATTTCCCACGTCAAAAAAACCCCGGGTATCGAATTTCATGCAAATAACTTATTTATTGCAAGAGTTATTTTCAAAAAGCGAACAAAAAAATTCAATTTCAACAACCCGTATCTCCGAAACGAAGCATTTTCGGACACAAGTTCATATCGACTTTTTTTCTTAAAATTGTCTCAGGAATACGTCACTTGAATATTTTAAAGTACTTATGTTATATTTATAAACATTTTCCCCACGTAGATTTTTATAAGGAAATTAATATTTCTAGGAAAATGAATGGTTGATAATAATAATTCAAATTTCATGGATCTTACTTGGTTCATCAGATATATCCAAAATGCCCTGCAGAACGTCATAGCACTGTCTTATATAGAGAGCTTCTCTCACAAACATTTTCGCTTTGAGCCTAGTTTGAACGAAAGTATGTAGATCTCCGTACACTCTATTGAACAATGATCTGAGTGTGTCCGCTTCTTGTTGGGATCTGGTTTTCAACCAAGCTTCCAGAATCGGCGACCAAGGAAGGACGGAAGAACTCATGAAGACCATTCCCATCCGGGAAACCGTCGCAGGGCTGGCGTTATCGACGTTATCCGGTTCGAATACTAGCTTGCAATTGGCTGCCATTACTATGCGGTCACCATTAGCTAACGTCAAAGTTTTATTATCGTCCAAAACTGAATTGAGGTTTTCTATCCAGACGGCATCCACTGGACCATCAAGAACCAGCCTAGATACATAAATATCGGTCGATGAATTGAGAGTTGCTTTTATAATAAAAAATGAGAATTAAAATTGAATATGTTTTTATACCATTTTTATGTGTAACTGAAGTTACTGCAGATTTATCCTACGAGGATATTTTCAAAGGAATACAAAAAACTGTATTCGTTTGAAAACTGCAGTAACGTTAGTTACAAATGAAAATGGTAAAACACATAGGAAGTTTTATTTCTCATTTTTCATGATGATCTAATAATAATAATAAACGTCTTCGATAACATGCTTGAATTTGTGTTATAAGTTGTTTACAAGCATCTTGTACACACGAATACTCACCGCAGTTGATCGAGTGTTCCAACGGATATATGAGTAGAGAGGGTCAAAGAGAGGAGTCGCTGGATGTAAAAAGAACCTGCTCATCGATAGATGTGTAACGCAGGACTCGATACAATACAAGCGTAACCTCTCTATGGCCTGGATCGATTACCGTTAGGTATTTGATACAAGGTCAAGGTTTTATATGGATGATCTTAAACTTTATGCCTCTGGAGAGAAGGACCTCCATCAGTCCTTGAAGTTGGAGGAAGAGTACACGCATGCTATCGGTATGAAATTCGGGAAAGACAATTGTGGAATGGTCCATCTCAAAAGAGGACGATGCGGGGACTACGGAAAGGATGTGCATCTCGTAGATGGAAGCATCCTATACCATTTGGATTAAGGAGACAGGTATTCTTATCTCGGGGTGGAACAACGCCACTCACAAGAGGTAACAACAGTGAAGAACTCTCTCTGCGGCAAGTATCAGCACAAACTTCGACAGATCTGGTCATCGGGGAAGAACAAAGTTTCTGCAACAAATATGCTTGCCGTTCCGTTTGGAGTAGTGAAGTGAGAAGAGCTGTATCAACTCGACATAAAGACCCGAAAAATAATGTATCTCTACAGAAGTTTGCATCCCAAATCGTCCGTTCCACGGTTGTACTTCCCCCGACAACAGGGAGGCCGTGGACTTTTGACTTTGGAGTGTCTACATGACAGAATGGTACTGGATATAGCCTGTAAAGTCGTCAGGACTTCGGATCCCCTTCTCTGCATAGTCCGTGACCATGAAAGAGCAGGAATTGGAGCATTTCTCTTTAGGGCAGCTGCCCGAGCAGCTGCTGAACTGGGTTTAGTTTTCGACACTGAACGAGGTGACCACAACTCTGTCACCGAGTTGAAACCCGTTCAGCAAAAAGCTCATATAAAAGCCGCAGAGATCACACCACTTCTGCGGAAAGACAAAGATAAGCCAATACATGGGGTCTTCTTCAATAACATTGGAGACCTTGGCTAATCAAAGCGCCTGACTTTCGCTTTCCTCCGGTCGAGTGGGCTGAAGTCGGAAACTGAGGGGTTCATCATGGCTTGCCAGGATGGTGTCTTTAACACCTTAGTGTATCGCAGTCGCGTAATGGGTATAGAGGTTCCTGACACAAGGTGCAGGGCCTGCCGCGAGGCGCCCGAGACCCTAATGCACTTGCTATCAGCATGTCCAGCATATGTGGTCTCGGCCTATATCCATCGACATAACGCAGCCCTAAGAGTGCTATATTACCATCTACGACACTCTTACGGTATTGACGAGACACCGGTGTTGCCCTACGCTCCGGAGGATATTGAATCCGTTGTGGGGAACGAGAAGTGCCAAATTTATTGGAACTATGCGTTCCCCACCCTCAGGCTCATACAAGCTAATAAGCCTGATGTAGTCCTTCTCCACCACCAGAGCAAAACGATATTTGTCGTGGAGTTTTCAGCTCCTGGCGAGACAAATATCGTCCAAAAAGAAGATGAAAAACGGATAAAATATCGAGATTTTCTCTTCGAATTCCGCAGACTCTTAGGCAGAAAACTTTGTCAGACAGATGCAGAAGGCTGTCATTCTTGGCTCACTGCGCTTGCTCAGGGCACATGATTATCGGACCCAATGATCACTTACGCCACGGTGTGGGGAGTGATCGTTGGTTGATAATGCTGACGCGCCCTCCCGAATGTATCGGGGCTTCGGGGGACAGGGCCTGACCAGTTTCGCTCAAGAAGTTCATATGAAATTGTGTGGAAGTTCAAATTAGAAGAGATTTATGGATCTTGGCAGTCCTATCAACGAATACCCACCCCTGCATACAAAGAAGTCTTCAAATGGTCCCACAATGTTCCAAAACATTCCACAGCATTCGGACTGTTCTGAAATGACTTGGGATGTTTCAGAATGTTTTCAGGCGTTCAAGACTCTTCCCGAACATTACTAACGTTTCAGAATGTTCCAAAATGTTCTAGAAGGTTGTGGAGAGCTCTCGAATACTCTCGAATGTTCTGGACCGTGAAACTTCCTGTCTTTTATCTTCAAAAGTACGCCTTTCAGGTAAAAACCGAAATATTTTTCGTGGATGGCGGATAATGTGTTTCCACAACCTTTATTATTATCAGATATTGCTTTCCTACAAGATGACCAACTACTGGAGCATTTTTATTTTGATTCCTTGGAAAAATTTTACTTACCAACAAAAATCAGTTTTTTTGAACTTCAGCGTCCTTCTCCACAATGTAGAGAATATCCCGTCGGTCCAATCATTTGTAGCTACATCCAGTCTACCGAACATTTGAGGTGCTGTGATGGCCTGAAATTTTTGTTAATAAAGTTTGGAGACCAATGAAAATACCTAAACGAAATAATGGCTGACATATCAATACATGACAAGAAACATGATCTTTAGCCATAATCAACCGGTTTGTGAGATGAAGCTCATAAAATACCAAATATGTTATCATTGTATATAGGGTTAGTCTATATACAAAGCTAATACAATTCGCATTAAATTATCGGAGTCCAGCCCTGCTTCAACTTTGTAATTTTGAATGTATTGCCTAGGGGTCGAATCTGTACAGTCATTAAATTCAATAGGTAGGGGAAGAAGGGGCATAAAGGGGACGTTAAGGGAAATAAAAAATTAAAAAATTATTAAATATATTTAATAATTGAAACTAATCACAACCCTTTGGTAACACATTAAAGAATCATTTGGCATAGAATTTGGTGATAAAAACAATCAACATTTTTTTAAATTTAAATTTTACGAAACCGTAGTGAAAACCCCATCATGCCCCAGGGTAGGGGTAGTATGAGGTACCAATTTGGGGCAGTACGGGGTACATAGTTATTTTGTCTCACAGAATATGCAGATGTGGATTTCTTCTTCATTGTCGTCATCTACCTACACCTGCACAGGCTGTATGTGTCCAACATCCACAAAGTTGAAAGGTCACCCAACCTTCCGAGGACTTTAAATAATTATGATTGAGGTCCATGTAATGAATGCAGAGAGCGTCCTTATCTATATTTTCAACGTCGGAGTGAACTTTTTTGATCTTTTGTTTCTTTAAGCCTTTTGTCAACCCTTCTTTTGGATTTGAACATTTCTTCGTCCGTTGAAGTCGTTCTCTTTCTTCAAGTTCATTTTTGTAGGGGGTTGAAGTAAGAATAACAGTTTTTCCTCTGCGATATTTTTTTCTTGTTTGGTTTCTTTGTTGCACTGCTGGGATTGCGAGATATCTTTAGGAGAAGCATTTTCAAAAGTCGTTGTTAAATCACGACTTTACGGATCGGAGATCGGATTAGGCTATCATCTTGTCGTGATAGTCCAGGCTGAGGCTCTGAGATAGGAGTTCCTTGTGAAGACTGTGAAATAGGAGATCTTTCGAGAGGTGGGGTCGTGGCAGAAAAAAGTGATGCAGGGGGAATTTCAAGGGAAGGCGGTTGTTGTTGCTGATCTTCATCAGTTGCAGGAGCTGTTTCGAGCTCGTCATTTGCCAATAAGACATCTGTTGTTGATTCAGCTAAAAAATCAGAATCTGAAATGTTGTTTTGATTGAATGGCCATATGCCACATTTTTTGAACGCATTGATAGCTGTAGACATTGTTGCAGCTCGAATATAAGCATCAGCAAACATTTCGCTGATCTGAAAAGTTGTTATTACACGCCCCGGGTGCGACCTTAACCAGTTAGTGCAAGCATGGTCGTAATATACACTCAATGGTTTCGTGAAGCCAACATCTAAGGGTTGCAGCCTATGGGTGCAGTGCGGGGGAAAGCAAAGCATTATGACACCATTCTTGCGTGCATGTTCAATTAATTCTATGTTTTGCGTATGTGTAACTTGACCATCTAAAAGAAGTAAGACTGGTGTAGCTAATGATACTCCTGAAAAGTTGACAAATCGTTGGAACCATGTCATAAAGGTCTCAGTTGTCATCCAGCCTCGAACATTGCATTCTGCTGTCGTTCCTGGAGGAGCTCGATCCAATAACTCCTGCTTCATTCTTTGTCGAGTGAATATTAACATGGGAGGCATATAAGTACCAGCCGCATTAAAACATATCTCAACCGTAATCGTTTGTCCTCGTTCTGCTGGTGAAAGCGATCCTACCTGTTTTCTTCCCTTTTCTGCAATAATTTTGCCCTTTGTTTTAGACACACATGATATTCCAGTCTCATCGCAATTGTATATTTTGTTTGGCGTCGGATTATATTTGTCATATACTTCCCCAAGCAAAGAATAGAACTTATCCACAGCCCCTTTGTTAAACCCCATAGGTTCGTTCCAACCAGCGTCAGAAACAGTTTCTTTACTTCCTTCCTTTCTTTGGAAGATTCCTTCATCCCCTTTTTTTGTATTAAGATGGAGTAGTAGAAAGCCAAAAACTTTCTTTCCCAAATTATTTTTAAAGGTTATGTTGAAATTCCATGCCAAACTTCAGTTGAACTATCAGCTGTTCCAATCAGAAATTTCAAATTAATCAGAAACCAATATTTACCAGACGTGCGCGTTGTCAACGATTTACAAACAGTTGGAAATATGTTTGTGACTCAAGGTTAGAACGAACCTCATATGAAGATGTAGCTTCTGGTTTTTGGGTGGATAAATCCGGGTGATGCTTCAAAAATCCTTTCATCCAATCTAGGCCCAGCTATCTCTTTATCGCGGTTAAAATTATGTGCCTTGCCATTTTTTTACGCCAACTGATACGCTGGTTTCCGTAGAACGACGGTGGTCAAACCAAACAAACGTTTTTCCATTTCTTCAATAAACCTCACGAGCTCATCTTCCTCTTGTTTCGACACCCCATCTTGCCCAGTAACCATGTCCCCGTTATGCCCCTATAACTGACATTGCTTTAATTACAGATTTAAAAAAAACTGTCAATAGCTACAGTGATTTTGTTCAAAACATAACACCCAAAATCGCTACAAAACACACTACAAAAATGTACAGTGATCAACTGAACACTTACCTGGTTACGTTTATTTTTGTAAGAACACCAAATTAGATGAAAACACGTCGAAAAATGTTTTTTGTCGTGAGAAACAAGAGCGTGCAGTCTGCTCGTGCGTCATTCGCGGACTGAACGCTGATGCAAAATGGTCGCCTGTTAGTGAAAACAAAACGCGGCTAATGTTAGCGGTTACTTGTATGTGTGGGTGGCCCCATCGTGCCTCGCGTCCCCGTTATGCCCCCCTTACCCTATACCGTTTTTTGACTAGATGGAGCTCGACTTTGTGTCAAATAGTAAATACACATACATTATTCTACTAGGTTAGTCTATATACAAAGATGTTTCAGTTAACCCTAACCTTCAAAAGAGACGTGTACAAATTGCACATCTGTTGGACTATTAGTTTGTGGGATACAATATTTTGAATGAAACAACTTTTGTCAGTTTGGAGAAAATTGTTAAAAAAGGATTTCATGTGTTGAGCAATGGCTTTTTAGCGAAAAAAATACTTTAAAAGCCAAGACTCTGTTTAATGAACATTATTCGGACTTTGCACCAAGAAAATCAACCGTTGAAAAGTGTTTTTTTTAGTTTAGACGAGGTGATATGAGCACCGAAAACAGTTCAAGCGGTGAACAACTCAGAGAGGCTGTTGAAGAAGAAAACAAAATAGATCTACAAACAAATTTTGGATGACATCAAAATGAAGTTGATCGAGATAGCTGAGGCTCTGAAGATGTTAAAGGAAAGAATACCCACAACAGAAAGTGGGGGAAGTTAGTGAGGAAACAATGCCCAAATACAGACCGAAAACAGGACAACTATGAAGCCACCAACGTCATCAACATGAGTTCCCGCCCGCTCACGGGAATAGAGGAATCCTTATTGAGGAAAGGCCTGAATTTTGCCATTACGCCAACATCTGTGCCCACTTTGGAGATAATTACTGCAGTGGAATCCACCAGTTCCCTCATTGACCAGACCGAGGCAGAAGAGTTCAGATGGAAAATTAGAGAACAGTTGGATCGAGAACCAGTTCCAACATCTAACATCAGCAAGGAAGAACGTAGAGCTCTG